GACGACTGTTTTGAGGATTAACAGTTCCTCAGTTATCATTCTAACCGTCAATCGACGGTCAATCAGAACACAGCCCCGAATTCATTCAACATTTCCCTCAGAGCTCGATGTGGAGGGACGTCCTGACCGTTGGTCACCTTTCACATCTTTTCGGTCTTCCCGAAACCTTTTCAACCACTTGTTGACGGTTGGTTCCTTCAGATAATTGTCTCCGTAAACTTGTTCCAAACACACAAAAATCTCACGACCATTCTTACCTAGCTTTGCAAAAAAGCGTTAGTTCAACAAGCACACGTAAATCCTACGTACTCGCAGAGCGCTCCGGCTCGAACCGAGCATAGAGGGATTACGTAGAGAGAGGGAACCACCGGGCCACCGCTCCCCAAGGTCTTGACACGACCTCCCGCTTTTTATATGTATTTTCCGGACAAACCTCGTACTATATGTGTCATATACTATGTATGTTCATATGTATGTACATACATTTACAGGGTGTTCCTTAATGATATGCAAATATTTAAGGGTGTGAATCGACATGAAAAATTAATGTTAGTTTGCTTGATAAACTACGGTCAAAAAATGTTTCCTTACAAAAACTCGGGGTGAAGTTTTAGGGAAAAAATGGAAATTAATTAATATTTTCAGAACCGCTTCAGATATTTCACTGATATTTGGTAAATGGTGTAAGTTAATAAAGTTGCATATTTTTCAATGCAAAAATAATTTGTAGCTTTAACAGTAGTGTGCGTACGGGTATTGACTTCGATACTTTTTAAGAAAAAAATGGTACGCCAATGGTTTTTTTCCAAATAAAAATTATTTTTGAATTCCCTGTTCAAATTAAAACAAATGATCTCTCTCGAATTGTTTTCCTTCGATGCGCCATTTTTGAGTGAACAAATAAAAACCGTTCTATTGTCTAACTTGCAAACTTATTATTAATTTAATTGGAAAAATTAAACACATCAGGGGTAATGAACAACAACAACTGACAACATAAACATAACATTAAAACCAACGAAATGATTACAAAAATTGTTGAAAATGGCCCGCTTCACTTAGTATGCACTCGCTGAAATATCCCTGGAGTGTTTTTTATTCTCTTAATTCCTCTACAGTGTTAATGGGACTTGTGTACACTAGTGTCTTAAGATAGCCCTACAAAAAGAAATCAAAACTGTTGAGGTCTGGGGACCTTGGTGGCCATTCTTGGGGTACAGTTTGTAAATAATTACGAACCGCTACAGTGACATGCGCTGGTGCACATGCATGTACCACATATCGATACGTATTTGCCAAAGTAACGTAAGTGACCAAAAACTATTTCGGAGAAAAAATGTGTTTTTAATTTAACCTTTAAGCCGTTGTTTATAAATTTTTTCAGGTTCAGAAACTGCCTTTTCTTGCCGCTTTCGACCTTAAACAAAGAAATACTTCAGGATAACTTGCAAATATGTATTCATTTTTTATATTTGTAGTTCATTAACAGTTTTCTGTATTTAATAAAGTCTTAATAACACGGGAATTCCCTATACAGGGTGTCACTAAATTAGTATTCAAAACTTCAACCACAAACAGACCATTAAAAAATATGTAGATGAAAAATTTGCGATAAACATGGGTCCGGAAACGTTTCATTTCCGAGATACATTGTATTGAAAATACGTTAAAAATCAGTTTTTTTCTTATAATTCAGACAAAATGTTTTCGAAAATTTTTAAACTTTGTCGTTTCTCTTATTTCGGTGGTGAGGAGAGAAGAAAAAAATCTTAATTATCTTAATATTTAATAATTACTTAATACGTTGAAAAGTAAAATAGCCTAATTCTTTCGCCAATGCATTTTTTATAATTTTAATAATTCATTATTATTGCTCACTTTATTTAAAAAAAAGAGTACTGTGTCAAACTTTTGGAAAAATCAACCGTTTCTTTGTTTAAAAAAAAAAAACCATATTAGTACTAAGTAATATTGAATGAACTACAAGTTTTTGTCTAAAAAAATAGTAGGATATGCTGATTGTTGATTGCTAATGGCATTAAAAATATTGACAGAAAAAAAAATTTCGTTATTATTTACTTACCTAAAATCAATAATTAGTCGATGGCAGCACGAACCTAACACTGCGTAAGCCAAACACTGACTGCGAAAATCTGACGTAAGTCGCAGAAACCGACCGAGACTTACGTTATTATGGCGTTAAAAAACGTTAGCTTGCATTACTATGATGGAAATAGTGTTAAAGTTACGTTTCTTTTACGGATATGATTTAAAAAATTCTGGACATACGTTTTCAAAAAAAGTTAAAAACAACGGTTTAAAGTAAAATCTAGGCTTCCTACACTTTGGCAGTATCTTCTCAACAATAAAAGCCTTACATTAAAGGAAAAACATGATTTTCACCAAAAATGTCACGTTACTTTGGCAAAAAAAAAATATTGTTTCTTATTAGTAAAGGAACATCATCAAGTAGCAAAGGCAACTGTTGTTGAAGAAAATTGAGGTAAGTCTGTCCGGCAAGAAGAATGGGCCAGTAAAGTGGTAGCCAATAATTCCTGCCCTTATGTTAACCGAAAATTGGTGTTGGAAATGGGTTTCGGTTACGGCATAGAGATTTTCTGCTGCCCACAAATGATTATTGCGGAAATTCTGAATGGCATTTCGAGAAAAATTAGCTTCGTCTGTGAACAGAATCATTGATTCAAATTGCGGATTTTGTGTAATTTCTTGAAGATACCACTGACAAAAGGTCACACGCGTTGGAAAATCAATGGGCAGTAATGCCTGTACTCTTAAAATATGGTAAGGATATAACAAAAAATCCATTAAAATTCTCCAAACAATTTGCTGGCAAATATTTAAGTGTCTAACGATCTTCCTCGTAGTCGTTTCAAGATGTTCTTCGACTCCATGCAGCACTGCTTCCTCAATTTCAGGTGTTCTCACACTTAGAGGTCTACCTTCAGATGTTCCTTTTCGGACAGAACCAGTTTCAACAAGACGACGATGAATATTAGAAAAGGTTCGACTAACTGGCAAAGCACGATCGGAATATCTCTGTTGATAAATCCGTCTGGCTTGCTCACCATTACCGTCGGCAAGGCCATATACGTAATGCATTTCCGCCATATCTGCATTTGAATAATTCACCATTAAACAAGATTGTAAAAACTAAATGATGAAAAAGCTGTCACAGCGAACAGATTTGAATAACAGAGACTTGTCATATGTCAAAAGCTAGTGACATATTCCAGAGCAACTAGATATTTATTGCTAAATTGCATTCTTCAATTATTACATTAATTTTCTCGGGCAATAGAACGGTTTTTATTTTTTTACTCAAAAATGGCGTATCGAAGGAAAACAATTCAAGAAATTGGCTTACCATGTTTTTCTCAAAAAATATCGAAGTCAGTACCCGTACGCACGCCACTGTTAAAGCTAAAAATTATTTTTGGCATTGAAAAATATGCAACTTTATTAACTTTCACTACGTACTAAATATCAGTGAAATATCTGAAGCGGTTCTGAAAATATTTTTGGACCATACTTTATAAAGCAAACTAACATTAATTTTTGTAAATGGCGACTTGAAATCGTATTTCTAATTTAGAAAGAAGCTCCAAAGACTCTGTATCTTCCTGATTTTCGACAAAACTTCTGAGCTGCTTGGTCAGGGTAATAGCTTTACCATAATTCCGAATAGCTTCTGTTGGCACTGGAACCTCATCGACATCACAACCTGTTCAATTTCTTGGCCTGAATCTGGATCTTCAACATACAAAGTTTCATCTAGATTCAAAAAATCATATAGGTTTTCATTATTAGTCCATTTCAATAAAAACTTATTTTTGAGGATATCCGAAAGTATATTAAGTGGTAAGTCATCTTCTGGGTCAGGTGTAGCAACCTGATTTAACTGGTCGTCACTTTGCACATTTTCATGCTTTGCGTAAGCATGTTTGCACTGTTTCTTTGGTTACTTGGCTCCAAGCGGTTTTTGCCAAATGAACTGCATCCAATGACGTAATTTTCTTTATTAACTCAAAAGCTGTACCAGCAGTTTCAATGTTTACTAGCAGGTGTTTGAGTATTGGAATTCGGTAATAAATTTTGAAACTCTTTATAATCGCTTGATCAAGTGGTTAACAAACTGATGTACAATTAGGGGGCAAAAATAAGATTGTTATATTATTCAAGCGAGTTTCTTTTGGACGAGATTCCGCATTGTCTAAAAATAAAATGTTTCTTTTTTATTTAGCCATTTTCCAATCTCTGTCATAATTTGTCTTGAAATCCAAGCTTTCTTATTGCATTTCCAAGTTACACGCAGTTACAGGCTCTGAGCTTAGTTGCCTTATCAATGACTAGGAGTTTTTCTTTTTTACCCGCCATATTTACACAGTGCATTGTAAACCTCTCTTTGGATACTTACACCCAAAACATTTTCCTTCTTTGATGTGAGCGTTTTGTCGGTGAATACCCGGTCCACTCGCGTGGCATGATTGAGAAATGCAATAGCGATACTCTCAACAGAAAAAAATAAGACAAGGCGTGTCTTTTTATTTTGTATTTTCTCCGGTTAGGCGAACATTTTCTGGTGTCCACGTCCGTTCAAGAGAATGTCCGTCAAAGAGAGTGTTAATACTATGCAAATTATATGAGAGTCGGTCGAGACCATGATAAACTGTCCGTTTAAAGGAAAAATGACTAGATTGAAAAATATGCTATGACAAATCTTGGATCTTTTTAAGCACCTTATATCCCTCAGGCAGTACCTACGCGCAATAGGATCTTTCACGAACCGCAAGGGGATAACGTATTTCCAGAAAACCGTAGCGATTCGTGTATAAAGTCACGTAGTTTAATTTATCACTGAGAACGCAAAATGATCATAATCTTCAAATTCACGAGCAATATATTGAGAACCATATAGGAGGGATATCTTTTAAGTTTTGCATATGGAAATAAAACAACACGGTAGGTAGTTTTGAATGACTTTATTGTTTTTCGAAGTATTCTCCACGAAGATTAATACACATCTGCATGCGCTCGAAACAATTTTTGAAGCACTTATTCCACTCGTTTGCTGGCAGATCCAAAACGGCATTTTTGAATGCGTCAACTGCTTCTTCTGGTGACTGGAACCTTTGACCACGCAGTCTGTTTTTAATTTCCTGGAAAATAAAGAAATCGTTAGGACTTAGATCGGGATTATATGGGGGATGGTCCAATAATTCCACGTGTTCTTCCGTTAAATACTGCCTTGTTTTTTGGGCTGTGAGCGAGCTTGCATTGTCTTGGTGGAGGATGATTCTTCTTTCGGGGTTGATTTTTCGAAGCTCGGTGATGACTTTTGGCAAACAAATGGTGGTATACCAATCCGCAGTAACAGTTCTTTGCTCATTAAGAGGAATTGTTGCAATATGACCCGCTTTAGACACAGATGTCGCGACCATCTGTTTCGAGAACGGATGGCATTTGTTGGCTTTTCTTCTCCTTGGAACACCCAAACAGCCGACTGTCGTTTATTTTCTGGTTCATAACAGTAAATCCACCAATTAACCTTGGCTGCTTTCTGCTCTTCAGTCAACAGGTAGGGTCCAACGAGAAACTAATTTTCTTACTCCTAATTCTTCATGTAAAATATTTTGAATTGTGGTCTTTGAGATTTTCAAGGACGCCTCAATCTCGCGATATGTCACATGTCTATCTTCAATGATGAGTTTACGCACAGCATCGACGTTTTCCTGGGTGACTGCCGTTTGTGGTGCACCCACCCTGGGATTGTCGCCAAGACTCACCCGTCCACGTTTGAATTCTTCATATCAACGGGAATTGTCAACTGAGGTGGCGCTTCGTTGCCGAAAACAGGCAGTAACTCAGCAAGGCATTCTTGTTGCGATAATTGTCTCTGAAAGTTGTAATAAATTATGTCGCAAAAATGTTCTTGGTTGAGTTCCATTTTTCTAATGACTTGGTGACACTTAAAAATTCACTGTAGTGAGAAAACTGCACGTATTGTTGTGAAACTTTGAATTTAAGTTTACTAAAGAGTGAGGTTAAGATTCAGTACTGACGTTCGATCCGCGCGGCCTACTATGTTTCTATATGCAAATCTTAAAAGACGTACGCTTCAACTGGTCTTAATGACAAACTATCGGAAAAAAGCATTACTTTCATATTTTTGTGGAGGATCAGCATGTGGATGAGTTCAAGATCATCTTTTTTCTCGTCCAGGTGTTGCAAAATTTACCTCGTAGGTATTTTACGGTCGAAAACAAAAGGAGCCGAGTTGCATTCCGTTAGCAATAACAACTACATACAGGGTGGTCCAACGACAAGGTAGCACCCCCATTTGTGATTCTTCTGGGATATTTTGGGAAAAACGCTCTGACACGTCAATTTTGATTTTTCGGGGAACGTCTTTTCATCTATAGCCATACAATACAGGGTGATCCAAAAATAAGATGCATTACCCTTTAGATTTTTAAATGGAAACACCCATTTTTTAATTTTCAAATCTTCCATGAAGTTTTTAGTAACGTTTTTATAATAAAGTTATACCTATCTTCAATCTTAGTGATGCTATTTGAGTTTATAATAAAATTCTAGAAATTGTGATAATAAGGGATTATATCGTAAAAATAATAACTAATATGGTTTCCATAGTAACAAGACCTTATTTTAGAAGTAAAAATAAGTCTCCGAGTATTAAAAAACAAATAAAATTTTATAGCTTACATGCACGTTGAAGTTAACATGAAAATTAATTTGTTATAAAGAGCTAGGTTAATGTGGTAGTAAGTGCAAAAATTGGTATCAATTTACTTCCATGCAATAATAAAGATTTTCTTCTAATCTATTTCCAAACAGACGACATAATGTTCGTCAGCGCAGATTTACCCGTATGATTCTGTGTGAGTTTGATAGAGATCATACCACAAGTGTTAGGAGAGTTTTTGGTGCCTTGGGCATTTCAGCAAGCCATGTTCACCGTGTTCTTAGAAATGACCATAGACGTCCTTACCATTTGCAACCTGTGCAAGGACTACAGCCAGGGGACGGAGAACGAAGAATCACATTTTGTCAGTGGATTCTTGATAGAACTGATAATAATAGGGAGTTTTTAAGTGACGTTTTATGGACCGATGAGTCATGCTTCACTAGACGTGGAGTGGTAAATTTTCATAATCAACATATTTGGTCGCATGAAAATCCGCATGCAGTTCGGGAAAGAAATTTTCAGCATGAATTTAGCGTGAACGTGTGGATTGGTATCTACCGTAATCGACTATTTGGACCCTACCTTTTGCCTGCAAGGTTGAACATGCAAATATGTGGGATGATGTTATGTTAGATTTAAGAAGATTGGCCTGGTTCCAGCTTGATGGTTGTCCAGCTCATTATTCGAGAATAGTGGACGAAAATTATCCAGAAAGATGGATCGGCCGTGGAGGACCAGTCGCCTGGCCTCCACGATCCCCTGACCTAAATCCATTAGATTTCTTTGTGTGGGGATTTCTAAAAAAAAAAGTGTACCAGACTCCCGTAACCACAAGAGATATGCTAATAGACAGAATCAGGAATGCATGTGATGAAATAAGGCCTTATTTGAATAATGCTATACCACGTTCGATCATTCCTAGATGTGAATTGTGTATTGAACAATTGGGTTTACATTTCGAGCAACTACTTTAGATTTTGTATGTTTGTCCTAACTATCCAATAGCATTTTAGTTGTAAATAATTAATTTAATTTGTTAAAAATAATATTGGAAAATTAAACAAATTATTATTCTGTTTTTTTGTGTTTATTTGGAGTTACGAATTATTGCTGTATTTAAAAACACAATCTAAACGATCGTCTTAATTACTTGTAATGCCCAAATCGAAAATTTAAAAAAAATATTATTTTCCCATAAATAATTAAAAATGCATCGAACCTTAAAAATCGAAATATCTCAAAAACGGCTAACTATAACGAAAACTCACAGGAGAGCTTTTTTATGCAGAAAAGTGCGAAGAATCAGTTTTTTTATTCAAAAGCAAAAAATTGCACTAAGAAAAATTTTTCGGTCATTTTAATACACTACAGGTACAGTAGAGAGCGCCCTCTAGCGGCTACAGTAAAACTATGTCCATGGTTCGTTTTGTCGTACCAAAAAACCCTTATATACCAATTTTCACTGTTTTTTTCAATATTTTCGAAATATTTAAAAAAAAAACTATTTTAAAAAGTAAATTTAAACACCCTGTATTTCGGAAGCCACGCATTTTTCGACCCATGTTTATATAGACTTTATGCATTAATTTTAAAAGTTCTATCGAATCTTAAAGTTATGCAACAATAAACTGAAACACCCTGTGTATCGTCCGGAAATGGCTCATGATTAATGATGAAAAAATTGAAGTAGTCGAGTCATTTAAGTATCTTGGTATATATGTGGATAGTAAGTTACTGTTTCACGAACATTATGAATACACTATTTCAAAGATATCGAAAAAGATAAATTACTGCTATAGAGTTTTCCATAATCTTTGTATGTATTCTAAAAAAATTGTGTATAACACTATAATTCTTCCCCAGTTTTTATATTGTTCAACCATCTTGTTTACAGCAAATGAAAACATATTTTAAAAATTACAAATTCTACAAAATAAAGCTATGAGAATTATTTTAAATAAAAACAAATATACTAGGATTAAGTCTATGTTAGAAGAACTGCAGTGGTTGGATGTGAAAAATTTCATATATTATTTAGTTCACGTTTTCATCTTCAAATTAAATAATCATTTATTACCACCATATTTTAATTTGTGCATAAATGATTTACCTGCCATAGTCAAAAAATGCAAAATTCTGATTTTCGCCGATGACACTATGATTTATATAAGTACTAAAAATATTCAGTCTGGTATCTCTTATACTTTGAAGTTGAGTCATTAATTTTCAGATAATGATTTTAGAAGGAAGATAAACCAAAATATGTGTGTAAAATAAAAAAAAATGTTACCTTGTTTTATACAGTATCCTCCCGACAAGTATTTCAGTGCGGACCTGTATGAATCATGTCCACAAGTTCAGCATTTTCGTAAACACGTGCCATTTTTTATTTCGTTTGAGCCACAAAACAAACACCACTATTCACTCACGCGTTACCGACTGACACATTGACTGAATACAACTGAATAAAATTGTAGTAAAAACATCGTGATAAGCGTTTCAAATTCTTCCGCTTTATTGTTTCCGATGCGATGAACCGATAAGGCGGATTATATCCGTTGTTGCCAAACACGAGCACATAATATTATTATTGAGACAGGGCGGTACTCAAACTTCTAAAGGGCTATAACTTTGTTACTTTAATTTTACCAGCAAAATGTTAAAGGAAGAAAACATTTATTTTGATCAGATCCACTCACTGTTAAAATAAATGATTCAACTTCGAAATCACCCTGTATAAATGAAGACTTGAAACTTGTCTCAAAATGGTTAGCATCTAACAGACTAAAATTAAATACAAGTAAAACGAAAGCCTTGTTAATCGGAAAAAAACAATGTTCAAATGTTCAACTGAATATTGATGGTGAAGATATTGAATTCGTAGAAAATTTTAAATACCTGGGGGTTTTTGTTGACTCTCGATTAATTTTTGATATTCATTATGAAAAAGTTATAAATAAGATTAGTAGTAAAGTGGGATATTTATCGAGAGTTTCTGGATATCTGAGTTCATATAGCAGAAAAATTATCTATAATGATAAATATACTCCAATTAGGCAAATGCTTAGCAAATTAAAATGGCTCAATGTAAAAATTTTTATCAAATATCTTGTAATGATATTCATTTATAAAGTAAGGTGGGTGGCAAGACAACACTCTCAGAAATGGAGAAGTATCTCCGGACATCTCCGCCAGGCGCAAGAACTCATTGAAGGGCCCAGTGCTAAGGATGAACGCTTCTGCCAATCTCTGGATAGAGCCAACCTAAGGTTGCTGGTGGGACTGTTGTCTAGCCATAACACGTTAAGGCGTCACCTGCACGTGATGGGGGTGGCTGAGGATCCCTTGTGTGAACGCTGCGGAGTAGAGGAACAGACCTCGGCGCACGTTTTGTGTCGCTGTGAAGCTCTGAGCTACTAAAGGCAGACTATACTGGGGTCCATTACTTTGGACGTCAAGGAGCTTGGACTCAAGGCGATTCTCAACTTCGCTAAAAGGGCGAGGCTTGTGATCTAAGGAATGTAGAGGTGCATAAGTGCCCACTTAAGCGGCCTATGCACTGGCTCCTTACGGTGGCCGGAATGCCTCTAATTTCAAGACTCATTCATTCATGAAGTAAAAGTTAATTTGCTATAAAGATGTAGGCCAATGTGGTAATAAGTGCCGACAGTAGTGTCCATTTACTTCCATGTAATAATAAAGATCTATTCTATATTCCTCACATTTTCTAGCATATCTTTAGTTATTTGTCTACATTCAGCCGTAATCCGCTGACAATCTTGAATGGACTCTGGCTTTGTACTAAAAACATCACTTTTCAAATGTCCCCAAAAGGAAGTAATCTAAATGTCTTAGGTCCGGAGATCTCGGCGACCACTCGATCAGGTCTCGTCTGCCGATCCACTGATTCGAGAGTCCAAAAATTGTCGTACTGGAGCCACATAATGCGGCGGTGCTCCATCTTGTTGGAAATGAATGTAATTTTCATTATAACTATCGTCATTTTCTATTATTTCGCTAATTCGTGGTTCTATTGTATTTTCTAACATGTCCAAGTACGTCTCGCTCGTCAAGTTTCCAGGAATAAATAAAGGTCCTACAATATGATTTCCAAAAATGCCGGCCCACACATTTATTTTTTCAGGACATTGCGAGTGTACCTCTCGAAACAAATGTGCGAGTCAGTCCAGTATCGACAATTATGTCTATTTACAGCACCATGTAAATAGAACGTACAT